CTTCCTTGGAGGGAGTGTATTGAAAATATAATTAAGAAGTAAATAAAAGTATGCTTCGATTAATAGTTTAAGTTTTTAGATGAGATGATCACAATTCAATAAAAAAATCCAATTTATTAGTGCAACCTATTCCTAAGCGAGTGCCACATATAACACAAAAATGGCAAAATGTGGGATAAGGAAAACTTCAGCTTAAAGTAGAAACTAAAAGTGAAATTGAAGGTTGCCTTTAAGTCTTAAAATGTACATGTTTTTAAGTTTTGTCCACTTCCAACGGCTCATTTTGCATTCCAAGTTTCCACACATATCTTCATTTACAAAACATATACATAGCTGTCTTTGAATTAAAATAACAAACTTACCTACCTTTATATATCAACATACATACTAATGTGTATACCCTTGACAAATCAAAGAAAATTCTGTATGTTCTCTGATCTTTCCCTCCCAAAATATAGTCAACCAAATATCATCAAGCCTGTGAACAACTGCAAAATGGAGGGCAAATACAAATTTTTTCATGGAACACTTGAAGTCTCTATTTTCCGTGCCACATCTCACAAGTCATCCATTCCCTTTAAGGTAAGTGATTCAATGCAAGCACAGATTTTTTCTTGCAATAACAATCTTTTTTGATAACTGAGAAATTCCCGAGAACCAATTAGTGTACACTATGAAACTTAGTGGATAAATAGCTTGTCCTTGTATCCTTTATCCTTACAACAACAACAACATATCCAGTATAATCTCACATAGTGGGGTCTGGGGAGAGTAGTGCGTACTCAGACCTTACCCCTTCCTTATGGAGGTAGATATGTTGTTTCCAATAGACCCTAGGCTCAAGATATCCTTTATCCTTATCCGCTTAAATACTAGTAGAATTTAATTTATGATATGGTCGAACTCATGATATGCGCCTCAGAGGCGGATCCAAGAGAACAAGATTTAAGCTCTATGCGTTCAACTTTTAAGGTTATTAGCACTGAACCCATTGTGATTTTAAAGTCACGGGTTCATATCGACTACTATTTGTTATAATTTTTGTAATTTTTTACACTTAAGTTTATATTCCGCAACGTAAATACTAGGCTCAGATGAACCCGTCAGCAATACGCTGCATCCACCTTTGGTGTGCCTAATCCTGCATCACGCGCTATGCTCTTACCGTTAGATCAAAGCCATTGGGCTACAATAACAATCAGTTTTTAAGGCCTAAAATCCTCTCTTGGTTTTTTTGCAGTGTATTTCAGCAAATGGAAAACCTGCATATGTGACAATCAAGATTGATAACAAGACAGTAGCAAAAACAACACAAGAACGTGATCGTGTTTGGAACCAAACCTTTCAAATCCTCTGTGCTCATTCTCCCAATACCACCATTACCATTACTCTAAAGACAAAGTGCACCACTTTAGGAAAATTCACAGTTCATTCTCATAAGCTCTTAAATGAAGCAAGTTTAGTTGAGGGATTCTTCCCACTTTCAACTGAAAACAAGAAGCCAAAGAAGAAACTGAAATTGCAATTCATTTTGTGGTTCAAGCCAGCAGAATATGAACCAAGTTGGGGAAGAATACTAGAGAATGGTACATTCACAGGATTCAAAAATTCAACATTTCTTCAAAGATCAAACTGCAGTGTGACTCTTTATCAAGATGCACATCACCAACATACATTTCAACCACCATTTCAACATTCCAAGAGATCCAAAAACTTGTGGGAGGATATATACAGAGCCATTGAGGGTGCAAAGCATTTGATTTATATTGCAGGCTGGTCTTTCAATCCTAATTTGGCGCTGGTAAGGGGAAAAACTACCATCATTTCTATTTTTGTTAGGGTCTAATTTAGGTCTTAGAGCATGGGTTCAGGTGAGTTCATACTCCTTTTCCTAAATCATATATAATAATGTGATATTTTTTAAAATTACTTAAATATATTTGCATGCACCCATGCTTAAAGTTTCCTATAGTGCAATAATTATTGGGTGCACCTCTAAGAGTGAAATTGGCGGTTCAAATCACACTTCGAATGGTCTTGTTTTCGGCACGGTGTATAAATATATAAGTAAAAATCACTAAATTTTAAAAAGAATATAATTTTGAATCTATAATCTCAAAAGTATAGTGAGTTCATGGTAAGAGACTAGAGTTAAACACGTCAAATACAAATTTCTGGATTCACTTCTTACAATAGTGCACCCATCCTCTTAAAATCCTGAATCCGCCTCTGAATTTTTTGTTGCATAGTTTTATGCATCACGTTGTTGAATTGTGTGATCATCTCATCTTAAAATTTGAACTATTAGAGATATCATAGCTTATTTACTTAATTATGTTTTCAACACTACCTTCACGTGGGGGCCTGATTCTTTTTAGTGGGTCAAACACATCGAAATTCTTTTTGATAATATGTGGAAGTGAGACTCGAACCTAGGGTCTCTGCCGGCTCTGATACCATGTCGAATTGTGTACTCATCTCATTTAAAAGTTTAAGATATTAGAAAAATACACTTTTATTTACTTAATTATGTCTTCAACAAAGCTATCATCATTTCTGTTTCTGTTGCATAATTTTATGCGTATGTTGGAAACTAATGGCTTCTCTTTTCAGGTCCGTGATCCCAGTACAGAAATTATGCATGCAAAAGGAGTAAAGCTAGGCGAATTACTTAAGCGCAAAGCAGAGGAAGGTGTGGCTGTGAGGATCATGCTTTGGGACGACGAAACATCCTTACCAATAATCAAGAACAAAGGAGTAATGAGAACACACGACGAAGATTCTTTAGTCTATTTCAGAGACACAAAAGTAGTATGCAAATTAGTTCCCAGATTACACCACAAATTGCCCTCATTCTTTGCACACCATCAGAAAGCAATAACAGTAGATTCAAGAAGTCATCTATCTTCAACTAGCCGAGAAATCACTAGCTTTATCGGTGGTTTAGATCTTTGTGATGGCCGCTATGATACAGAAGAGCATTCCTTGTTTAAAACTCTCAACACAGAATCACATTGCTACGATTTCTATCAAACGAGTCTATCTGGTGCAAGCCTACACAAAGGAGGACCGAGAGAACCATGGCACGATGCTCATGCTCGTGTCACAGGACAAGCAGCTATGGATATACTCAACAATTTTGAACAAAGATGGAATAAGCAAATTGGCCCTTCTTTGCTCATTCCTATAAGATCCATTCCAGAACTAAGCAATCAGCCAAACATGGCTTCTACTGATCGCGATTGGAACGTTCAAGTCTTTCGTTCAATTGATCATGTCTCAGCTTGCCCATTGCCAATGAACATGCCAATTGAAAGAAGCATACATGAAGCTTATGTTGAAGCAATAAGGCGGGCTGATAAATTTATTTACATAGAAAATCAGTATTTCATCGGCGGATGTCACCTTTGGGAGCAAGATCAACATTGTGGCTGTAGAAATTTAATTCCAATAGAGATTGCACTAAAAGTTGCTAACAAAATCAAAGCTAAGGAGCGATTCGCTGTGTACATTGTGATACCAATGTGGCCTGAAGGATTGCCAGAGAGTGATTCAGTTCAAGATATATTGCACTGGACTAGAGAAACAATGAAAATGATGTATAAATTTATAGGTGAAGCAATTAAAGAAAGTGGTGAACCAGGGCATCCTAGAGATTACTTGAATTTCTTCTGCCTTGCAAACAGAGAAGAAGAGTTCAAGGGAGAGTTTGTTCCTCCTTATTCTCCACATCCTGAATCACAGTATTGGAAAGCTCAAAAGAGAAGGAGATTCATGGTTTATGTCCACTCTAAGCTCATGATAGGTATGAAAATCTTCCTCCGCTCGAGTTAATTTTCACATCTGGTTTATATTCATTGTACTTTATCTACTACAACAGTAAAGTCACAGAACTATTTTTTGTCATATTAAAATAACTTAACTTTACTCACTATAATATTAAAGTCATTAAACTTACCTGCTATAATAGTAAAATCACAAAGTTACTTTGTCACATTAAAGTAACTGAAATTTACCAAGTATAACGACAAATCCTATACATCAAGATGGTAAAGTTGTGTGACATTATTGTTTTCGGTGAGTTAAAGTTCAGTAACTATACGTGAAGTTAACTCTCATCTACTCGTGTTGCTTAACGTTTAGACTAATAAAGCTGAGATGTTTACAACTCTTTCTCTAAATTTTCAGTGGATGATACCTACTTATTAATTGGTTCTGCTAACATAAACCAAAGATCCATGGATGGGCAACGAGACACAGAGATTGCAATAGGATGCTATCAGTCGAAAAGTGAAGAAGGTGACATAGATCAAAGGGACGTTCATGCATATCGTATGTCATTGTGGTATGAGCATACAGCAAAAGCAGAACAAGCATTCCAAGAGCCTCAAAGCTTAGAATGCATGCAGAAAATCCGTTCTATCGGAGACCAAATGTGGAAGATTTATGATCAAGATGAAGTAGAAGATATGAAGGGTGTTCATTTGGTAACCTACCCTGTGAATGTGACTGCAGAAGGTCATGTAATGGATCTTATTGAGAGAAATGGTCATTTTCCAGATACAGAAGCACTAATAAAAGGGAAGAGATCAAAAGTTTTAGCACCTACAATTACTACATAGTTGGAATATAACATGAGTTAGAAGCTTGGAGCCCTTTGAGCAGTGATTCTGTATATGCTGAATAGTAGTAGAGAAGGCTTTATTATATGTTCATTTGATTGTAAAATTACAAAGAGGAGAAAAAAACAGTTACTTGTGACTACTGACAATATCAATATAATAAAAATATGAAAGGGAAAAAAAAAACAATAGCAATATGTGCAATTCAGTTCTAACAAAATACCATCTTAAGAGTCGAATTTTTACTGCCACTCATAGTTAAGCCTCAGGCTTCCACCTTCATGAATTCTCTGAAATCATACTCAGATTCAGTACTTAACTATTTTCTGCAAATTTCCACCCATTTGCTTTTCACTTATATAAATGGTGTGCCAAAGATAGTTACAAAACCCAAATACCTTCCAGCATTAACAGTCGCGAATAGTCAAAAGCACATAGTGAATGCAATAGGCTCTAATGTTCTTGCCATTTCCATCGACTTCAAATTGAATAAAATCCTGAAACACTCATACAAAACACATCTGATAGTGATTTTGTTTTGAACTTTTCACCATAACGTCACGTGAGATAGATTACAGCAATGGCAAAAAAAAAGAATGCTTTGTACAAAGAACGATGTGCAGCTTTCTAGCATATTATAGAAGAAAAGCTGTGAGTGTGACACAGCCCATAGCAGTCTGCAGTAAGGGTTTGAAAGAAAATATAGTACACACATTTGTTTATTTATACTTCGAAGACGATTTTGACTGTCCATCATTGTCATATGCAGAAACTTCACAGAAGTTGAGAATCACCAGTGCCTTTCAGTGTACTCTCATTTGCATTAGCTGGGTTATTATAATTTGCAATTGCATCCTTTAGTTTCTGGAGCTGCATTATATTTCAAGTTTTAATTCTTTCAAAGGAGAACTGATTAAAAGGTCAAAACATGAGTAGTAAAAGACATGCTTAGACTGTTATGAAAATCTTCTTCCCTAGAAATAAGCAAAAAAGTTCAGGACACCACATTATCAGTTAAGAAATTTCATTTACCAAAGAAATCCAACAATGGAGTTTCAACTACAGCAATGAGATAAACAATTGGACAGTGTCTAATCAGTACATTGCTGTGCAGATTAACCAGAAACAAGCTATTCCCAAGGAATACCGAAGAGGAAGCACAACCATTATCTTAATCCAAAATATACAAATCCTAATTGATTTGATGTCAAGGGGCCTAAACTTAGACGGAAAGATACAGGAAGGGTTGCTTACAGAGAGATGAGGGAAGGGATTGCTTTTTGACAAGAGCAGTTATCCAACAAATATCATAATTGTGGGTCCATAAAAGATTTAAATAACAATTCCTTTAGGTGGCCCATGAATACATAGGTGTTATCAGTAGTTCATTTCTTGGTTTTATTTAGAAAGATATATCAACTATTTCTTCTCAATGCCTCAAAAATAAAAAGGTTCTCTAATTTCCACCAAGTTACCATCTAAGCTGAGCATCATTCCATGAGTTGAAGAGTAAAAGGTAGCACAAAATGATAATAAGATAACAATAAAAACACACTGATATGCACTTCATGATCCTACCTTTGCGAGAGAACAGGAAAAGGAATCCAACAGACCGTCAGCGCCTCTGTAGAAATGGAAATATGGAAGGACTTTTACATTTAGGCTTTTGCACAAGGGCTTGTTCTCATCAAAGTTCACCTTAAGGAAAAAGATTTCTGGGTGTTTTTCAGCAATCGTGCAGACCTGGCCATTGAAAAACAAATAAGCAAACCAATTATCTATTAGGATATTTTGGACCGCAAAAGCTTGTTTGGCATCTGCTAGGAGGTGTGTAAAACTGTTTAAGGAAAGATGGGTGACCCAGAATTTAAAAAGGCAAAAGTAAATATAAAACTGCAATAACAGTCAGCATAAGCATGGTAATTCAGACTTACGAACCAAAAGACATAAAGGAAACAAAAGAAATTATTAGAAACTTAATGAAGCCAAACCAGATTAATGCGTAAATTAAGAATATACAATGATTGTGTAAGTTGAAATTAAATAAAAGGAAATTAGCCCAATATCGAACAATAGGACATAGCTAATGCTGATAGCCATAAAAGAAAGATGTAAGACCAAAGTAAAATTCCAACAACGTACCACACATTCATTAGCAACGACAACTATGCGCCTCAAATAATGGGGTTATATGTACAATCAGAGTATCAGACAAATAATAACTAATGTTCCAAAATGAATGCACCCCTCTCTTCAACCTTCGGTAAATAAAGAAGCTCCAAGTCCAGCAATTTTACTTGCAATTACATGAATAGGAACAGATTCTTATAGAAAATCGGACAAAGATTTCCAATCTCAAAAAGGGAAATCAAGAGCTTCCAAGGCCTGCAACTCTGCATGCAACCAAAATGACTGTACAACTGAGGTTGATGGCGAATAACTGCTTATAAATGACAAAAATGATTAGGAATTTATGCAAGGGAAAAATTGAAATGACCAACTAATGCAGCAACAACGACCCCAAAAATATGAAATAAAAAGTACACGTTTTTTTAATCAGTAAAAAATTTCATTAATAAGCACCAAGTCGGTGTTAAAAGATTATGAACACGCAATGCCTATGATTCAACCCGATCATCTATAAGTTTGTTCAACTATCTATACAGCATGTTATTTTCTTTTTACACCTAGAGCGTGAAATAAAAAGATACTTAATCTGTTTTCTTCATCCCTTTCACTAATTTGGGAGCATTCTCCTACTTCTTTTATTCCATATGCTGCAAAAAATTCAAAATGGCTCAGGAAATATAATGTACTTGTGCACATAATATGAAAGAAAAGAAACTTCCCCCGATTAAAAGGGCTTCCGAGAGACTATAAAATTTGAGAATGTCAACAAAGAGTAGAGCCACTTTTACATGAAAATTAAGCTAAAATTTCTGTTTCCAAAAAGCTATATTAAAAATGCTTAAAGAGATTGATTATGCAAGTTTGAAGCAATTATTACTTTTTTACCAGAAGTTTTCATTCCTTTCTTAGACCGATCTGCTAAAGAACACAAACCACAGGAATGGAGAAACGAAAGTGATTACTTTTGTTTACATCTTCCAAAAAATATTTGTAACAACGATGCATTCTGTGGTCTAGAAAAACCAATGGTTCATTACTCAGGGAAAGCTTAAATACTCACCTTGGGGAACAACGCACGACAAGAGGCACACCATGTGCCATAAAATTCAACAATCACTAATCTATCTCCAGCTTGACTTAAAGCATCTAAAAATTGTTGAGTTGAATGGATGTCAACCATATTTGAGGCATTCTTTTCCCACCATTTTGGTTGATCAGTTTCAGCAGCAGTTGCATGTACCTGATGTCCAGAAAAAGAACACTGTTACTTGACATTGTAAGTAAAAACCAGCAATGGTTCATATAAAGAAAAAGTGTAATTAAGGGAACAGATGGACCCTATAGACTTGGTCTAAATTGGGATGAATTAAAATTGGAAACCCAGTTCAAACTTTGTATCTCTTTAAAGGAATAAGCTAAAGTTTATCTGTATTATAACTCAGTCTGTAGCATCGTCGTTTCAATAGTCTAGGTAATTCGAAGTTAATTAACTGTAGGTAAAGGCGGATCCAAAATTTAAACTTGATTGCTTCAATCTTTAAAATTCTTAACACTAAACTCACTATGCATCTAAAATAATGGGTTCAAAGTCTAATAATTGTTGAAATTTTGTCATTTTTCACATAAATTACCCAGAAATTAATATATGAAAGTAAGACATCCAGAAATTACCTTGAAAAGAAGCAAACGTTTGTTGGGGGCATAATCAGAAGGATTTACAAAATGGGAAGAGTGAACCCTTCTTTTCCATGAGTTCAATTTAAAGGGCAGTGAATTTGAAGGAAGAGAAAAGGGGGAAAAGGGACAAACTTTAAGTGAATACAGAGAGTAGCCTTGCATACTCCGTTGTAAAATAACATATGTACAGAATTAGAAGTGGAATTGAAGGAAGCAGTAGCCTAAACCCAAAATTCCAAACTCTGAAAATCGACAATGGTATATGTTTTGGATATAGGAACAGTGACAGAAAAGTAGTTGAAGTCTGGATTTATGCTACCGTCGCTATCCTTGTTGCGAGCTTCTTGACCCAACAATCGCCAGTAATTTGCCAAAGTGCTTTTGCTCACGGTCACGGGTATGGGCTCTCGACCAACCAACCCGATTCTAGTAAGAAATTATAAAATATATATATATATATATAATTTATGTATATGACTAGAAAAATTAAATAATAAACAAAACCGGTTATTTGTGTAAAAATATGAAAATAAATGGATTACTTGATTTCCTTCTTTAATCTATTTTTATTGCTTAGGAGGAGAGAGTCCAATAGAAGTGTCCTTAACGCTTGGAAACAAATAGTTGGACTAGAAGATTATATATAAATGTACTCTTTTTTTTCGTGATAACAGTGTCTGGACTACTTTACTCGCACCTCGATGGTTCTATTAATATATGTTACTAGTGTTCGAATCACCTTACGTGCACCTCAACTATTTTATTAGTATATGTTATCTCCCGTCAACACAAGTATCGAGTAACGCTGCACATTAAAACTTAAACAAAAGGAAAAAATCACGTCATATTTTTTGAGATGTGAACTTGAGACTTCACAGTAAATATTTGTTATTGACCCAAAAGATGAATATTGTTCCTTTAGTTGAGGATCATAAAGAATGTTGTATAAACAACACAAAGGCGCATAATTTGGTGGTGAATATGCAAAGAACTCAAAATACATTGGAACAATGAAAGTTTTATTTTAGAGCCTATTTGTTCATTGTTTTAATTTTGGGGTGCACTTACATATCAACGGAACGGAGCAATGTGTTAAGCGCGCTAGATCCCCGAGAAGTGCTCGAAAAAAGACCGACTTTACTGGTTATACTTACAATTGAAAAGATAACTGAGAATATTTATTTGGCAAAATGCAGGCACTTGAACTATCGCCAAATCTCTCTTACACACTTTCTGTGAACGAAAATAATATTACACATTTAACATTTTAAAAGTGTGTCTCATACACACCTTCTTTGACCAGGACCCAACATGTGTAAAACACCGAGACATATGCGTGTCTATCAGATAAAAATATTATCTAAATACTTATTTATGCCACGTGTCACCAAATCCCTCATCTTCCCCACCCTTCTCTGTTCTCTTCGTTTGTTTCGCCAGCCAAACTCCCCCTCCATACCATATTCAAGAATCTTATTTTTTCCTCCATCTCTTCCTATCTTCACCACATTTACTTGCCATTTCTAATATCAATTTTGGCCTTTCTACGGACAATCTACAATTACTTCGTCAAATTTGAGTTTATTAACCCATTAGTTACTATCTAACAGTTAAAGTAAATATGGAACTAATGTCATACATTTTACCAAATTGATCAAGAACATCAACAACCCGGTTGTCATTTTTCTCTTTTTTCTTCCATTCCTTGTGATCCTCTCCTGCAAATCCATCAATGTCGGTGCTGCTATCTTTGTTTTCTGTGATTTCTTTTTGTATAGTATCTAAAATCTAGGAAGAGGGATGCACAAGCATGAAAAAGTAGAAATTAAAATTTTAGATATTTAGGTGAAAGGAGCAGGAAGATATCGAGGGATATAAGGAGGAAGAGATTGTTAAAATTAAAAATTAAATCACCAATTTATTTGTTGGTATGCAATTTTGTGAGCCATGGCTTATTAGCTTTTGATGTCTTTTATTTCTTTATCGGATTAAATCACTTGGGCTCCTAATTTTTGGGTTGAATTGTGTGTGCTGATTTTTCTAGTTGTCCATAGAGGGCGAGATGGAGGGGAAAGAGATGGGGTTGAAGAAGACGAGGTTATGTGTGTAACTTTAGATATTTTTTTATGCTAATGACACGTGTCATGGCCTTATTGGTACGTGACATTACCCATATTTTGGTAAAGTGGTCAAAAAAAAAGTAGTGTGAATTAGACACACTTTTAAAAGGTTAAGTGTGTAATATTATTTTCGTCCACAGAAAGTGTGTAACCGAGATTTAATTCATAGTTCAAGTGCCAACGTATGTATTTTGCCTATTTATTTAGAAGTAGCTTTTAAATACTTGATTTGGCCATACAATGAACTATCTGTTATGACAATAATTATATTGTGGATATCCATTTATTACTCTGTTATAGATAATCTTCCTGAAGAAGATTATCCATTTAGTACTCTGTTGAAATTTATCTACAAACAGCTGATGCAGGTAGATTGTAAGCAGCTCAATGAAATGATTTGCAGCAACTTCTTATTAAACATGCAGGTTGCAAGCAGCTCATGCAGACAGCTTACAAACAGCTAAAGAAAAGCCTTGCAACTGCTTCCTGAAAAGCCTCGCATCTGCTTCCTTTCTTCTATAAATAGAGGAGTTTTCAGTTCATTATGTACATAAGTTTGAAGTTTGAATAATATATCAATCTCTTTCTACACTTGTTTTCGGTTTATTTACTTTATAGTTTTTATTTTATAACACGTTATCAGCACGAGACTCTGTCATCTCGAGCAAATACTTTGAAGTATCACAAGTACGAACTTTCTTTTCATAAATAATGTCAAATCTTTCTAAACTTGAATTTGTAGCCCTGGATATATCGGGCAAAAGCTACATGTCTTGGGTGCTCGATGCCGAAATTCATCTTGATGCGATGGGTCTGGCAGACACCATCAAGGACAAAAATTAGGTATCAAACCAAGACTGTGCCAAAGCAATTATATTCCTACGCCATCACCTTGATGAGGACCTGAAAATGGAATATCTTACTGTTAAGGATCCAGTCATACTGTGGGATAATTTAAAAAATAGATATGACCACTTGAAGATGGTCGTTCTTCCACAGGTACGATATGATTGGACTCATTTAAGGCTACAAAATTTTAAATCTATCAGTGAGTATAATTCTGCTATGTTTAGAATTATTTCTGAATTAAAATTATGTGGTGATAATATTACTGATCATGATATGTTGGAGAAAACTTTCACCATTTTTCATGCCTCGAACATGCTCCTGCAGCAGCAATATCGAGAGATGGGATTCAAAAATTATTATGAACTTATCTCATATCTTTTTGTAGCCGAGCAACATAATGGGCTATTAATGAAAAACCATAAAAGTCGACCTATTGTTCTTGTCCATTCCCTGAAGTGAATGAGACGAACTTCCACCGAGCTAAGCGTGGAAGAAGATGTGGCCCCAGTCATGGTCATGGCCGTGGTCAGGGAAGGAACACTAATCATGGTAATAATAATGCACCAAAGAACCATCCTCACCACCAATAGTGGAAAAGGAAGGAACAAAAGCATGAAGCGGTGCAAGTAGCAAACGCAGAAAATGCATGATATAGATGTGGAGAAAAAAAGCACCGGTCACGTACATGTCGTACGCCAAAGCACTTGATTGAGCTGTATCAAGCATCCCTGAAAAAGACTGAGAAAAATGCTGAAGCAAATTTTATTTCTGAAGATAATTTAGATTTCATGAATTTGGATGTAGCTGATTACTTTGCACTCTCGGAAGGAGAAACAAGTCATGTGATCGGTGATGAATCTGTAGAGATGTAATATTTTAATTTTTGTTGTTTGTAGTAGATAGTATGGTTATGTAATAGTTGTACATAAATAAAAGTTATGCTTTGATAATAATGTTTACTATCATTTTTATTTTGTTTATGTCATTTTGAAGAATATGGATAATCCTCAAATTATGTTTGGATCAAAGACCAATCATAAAAATATTTGTATAATTGATAGTGGAATAACTCATGCCATATTCAAAGATCAGAAATACTTTTCTTATTTTCATAAGGAAAAAGCAAATGTTTCTACAATTTCTGGTAATATAAGTTTGATTGAAGGCTCCGGAAGAGCTATTGTATTTCTGTATAAGGGAACAAAACTTATTATAGACAATGCATTATTCTCCTCCAAGTCCCGAAGAAACTTGTTGAGTTTTATGGATATCCGCCAAAATGGGTATCATGTTGAGACAATAGATGAAATGAATATGGAATATCTTTGTATTTTACAAAGAATATTTCTGGCCAGAAGTACACTGTAGAAAAGTTATCAACTTTATCTTCTGGCTTATACTATTCAAAGATTAGTACAGTTGAAGCACACTCTATCGTAAACCGAAAGTTTACTGATTCAAATATTTTTGTACTTTGGCATGGCCGTTTGGGCCATCCTGGATCAATAATGATGAGACGAATTACTGAAAATTCGAGTGGGCATCCATTAAAGAACCTGAAAATTCTTACAAATGATGAATTTTCTTGTGATGCTTGTTATCAAAGCAAAATGATCACTAGACCTTCACTAATGAAGGTTGGCATTGAGTCCCCTGCCTTTTTAGAGCGTATACATGGGGATATATGTGGACCTATTTACCCACCAAGTGGGTTGTTCAGATATTTTATGGCCCTAATAGATGCATCTTCAAGATGGTCTCATGTGTGCCTACTATCATCTCGCAACCTGGCGTTTGCAAAGCTATTAGCCCAAATAATTCGATTAAGGGCACAATTCCCAGATTATCCTATAAAGGCTATCCGCCTTGATAATGCTGGAGAATTCTCATCTCAAGCTTTTGATGATTATTGTCTATCAGTTGGGATAAAAGTTGAACATCGTGTAGCTTATGTTCATACTCAAAATGGCCTTGCAGAGTCATTTATTAAACACCTGCAGTTGATAGCAAGACCACTACTTATGAAAACAAAATTGCCCACTACTGTTTGGGACCATGCTATCTTGCACGCAACATCACTTATCCGTCTCAGACCAACACATTATAATAAATATTCTCCGTCACAATTAGCTTTTGGTCATGAACCAAATATTGCCCATCTACGAATTTTCAGATGTGTTGTATATGTGCCAGTAGCACCACCACAACGCAGTAAGATGGGCCCGCAAAGAAGGTTAGGAATATATGTTGGGTTTGAATCACCCTTTATTATTTGCTATCTTGAACCATTGACTGGAGATTTATTTATTGCTCGATTTGCAGATTGTCTATTTTATAAAATAAATTTTCCACAATTAGGGGGGGAGAAAAAGGAAATTAAAAGAGAAATTGTGTGGAAAG